TACGCATTCGTGAAATTCGTTATTGTTGAAGGGCTTGAAATGGATAAGGAACAACAGGGGATTGGGTAGGTTCATACATAGAAGGTGAAGTGAAATAGCATAACATATGAAATATATAAGAGAAGGAATTTACTATTGAAACAAAACAGTGTGCAAGCACGTTCTTGAAGGCGGAGTTTACGACTAGAAGGCAGCCCATGCAATCAAGATAGGGGTGACTATTGGTGCCAAGATGAAGAAACAACATGAGAAACAGTCCAAAAACCGTGAAATGGACCCTTTCCTTGTCCACCTTAATTTCCGCAACGTCGCTCATCGTGCTGCCATCTTCTACAGGCTCTCTCTGCCTAGTGACCTGCGGCGAGTGGTTCACCAGTCTATGGGGTTCCGCGCTGATAGCGCCGCGAAGAGGGCCACGCTAGGTCGCCGGGGGCGTATTTTTCACTGCGAATGTCATGTCGGTCTGCATGCTTAGGGAGTCCGCCTATCTTCCCACTAGGTAAGTTTCTCCTTTTCGACCTTCTCCTTGAATGCAGATGTACAAATGATTCCTCTTTACAGATAACTTAAAGGTATGCTCCGGGATAAAACCGGTAATAGTAACGCTCCGTAATGATGACTGCTGTGGGACGGCTTCAAAGTGGAAAGGAAAGCTAGAGATTGGATCATTGGAATCACTGGAATTAAGGCCTTAACCAGGTGAATGTGGAACGTAGGCGAGGCAGGGCGGTCAAAGAAGACAAAACTCGCGAGAAATCACGCCGTTCGAGAGACCCGCTGACATCGAGGTGGGTGGGAAGCGTTGCAACCAGGGTCGATGGTTGCAGGCTCGTAAGGATTAGCGCCCTTGCGCAACTTTTGTGGCAAAGCTGCAATGACCTAGGTAGGTGGGGACCTTACAAGTTTCCTCCCGGTATCCTTCTCACAAGTCGGGCCAGTCCCGGAGTTTGCCTTTAACTACATTGGTGTGCAAGACATAGAGGCGAGTGGATTAATTGACATAACCTATAAAAATTTGATGGAATTAGATAAAACTGTGCGAGCATAATGATAATCGACTCACAGTCATGGCTATCAAACTGGGCTTCATATATCCTGCAGTTTGTAGTGGGTTGGTCCTACTCGTGCGTAAGAGAACATGGATAATTGACTGAGAGAGTTCAGGGCGTAGTGTGAGCAGCCCCCTCCACCGCTCGATGATCAATTTCGAAGAGAAAGTGGGAGGAGTTAGGTGTACCGACCGGTCTCACAAGGGAAGGATACCAAGTCGAAGTGGCCATCCGTAATGAAACCTATACTCAGAGATGTATTTTCGGATGCTGATCTAAATCCGCTCTGCAAATCTGCGGAACTATTCTCTGAAAAAAGTTACGGGGGTTGTTTCAAATGAATGTTTATCACAAGAGACGCCTTCAACGGAGGGCTGTCAGCGGCGCCTGGCCGAATGGTAGTGGTGGCGCCTCATGCAGGTGAGACTATGTTTCGGTTCTTGATGGAGTCTAAGTCTATGTTTCGGTTCTTGATGGAGTCTAAGTCTTCGCTTTTATCAATTATGCCTGTTTTCAGCCCAAAAGAACGTTTAGTGTTGAAATTCACACAACCTACAAGCTGAATATGTTCTGTCCCCAAGTGGTGGTGTCACACTTATTGAAGAACTTTGGTTCTTGTGTCATTGAGCGTAGCCCATCCAGGATGGAGCAGAAGGTGATGGACAGTTTCACGTCAATCTTGAGAGAAGCCGTGCTTGACAATCTGATTGTCGAATGAAAAGAGGATCCGTCGTCAAAGAAGAAGAGGTGATCATCTGTGGGAGCCAGACGATGCCGCGAGCTCGAAGAGAGGCTTCTTTTTATTCGGTGATATAGAGGTGGACAAGGAGCAGGTAAGAGTTCAAAGAGGTGTGTCTAATTCCAAAACTGTGTAGTCGTGACCTAGATGGAAAAGGCGCTGGCATTTTATCGGTCGAGCGCAAAAGGCAGTCGTTCCTTATCATGCTCAAAGTTTCGCTTCATCTAGACCAACTATGACCCTTTGAAGTTGAGGCGAATCGAGAGAGAAGGTAAGATTTGTCATACGTAATCCAGCCGCCAATGAAATTAGGAGTAAATAACTATGTAGGTGGAATTCGTGCGACTCGCTTGACAATGCAGAATCGTCTCGAGACATGTTACCACCTTCCGCTCTAGAAAGAGTTTTTTAGACAGAGGTTGTGTCGCCGCAGAAGCTGAAACATTTGTGGAGCAAGTAAGGAACGGTGAGAGTTTGATATTCCACCCACATTATGCTTTCTAGAAATGGAGAAATGGCCTCTGCATGCAATATGCAATGCCGACAAAACGGGTTCTTGAAAGAAATGCACACAAGACGCTCACTGGCATTTGTGAGATCGAAGAAAGTTGAAAGGACCGTGCAGTCAGTCGCCGCAACGACCCATTCATTTACCGTGATGCCCTCGCTATTTGAAGATGGGCACCTAGGTCCGAAACTCTTCGTAGTGTTGGAGATTCGTTGCAGAAACCTCTTCCAATACCATCCTTTAATCAACTCTGCTTTTATCAGGAAACCAATGGTGAAATTCCTGCCAAAGGGCATTTCCAAGCTAAGAATTTGGAGGTTCGGGCCAACACACGCACATGATAAACAAGCAAATGCTTTTGGACTGGGTGCAATCTTGTGCAGTTGCTCCGGATTCTCCGACAGCAGCGTTGCTGGTGGTTGACTCGTGGTCTTCTTTCAAGGACCACGATGCCATTCATTCTGCCCTGCCTTCCGGAAAGCAGCTAAAAATAATGAATATACCCGCTGGTGCCACGAGCCTCGTTCAGCCATTGGACGTCTACTTCTTTCTGCCGTTAAAGGCTATGTACAAGCGAGTTACGGCGCACATAATGGCCCATAAATTTGACATCCAGGTTCACACGCGCGATGCAATCCTTCGGCTCCTTTTACTTGTATATCTTCAGTTCTGTGCTCCCAGATTCAGAAAGTTATTTTCATACGCATGGTATGCATCTGGTTACTTGAGCATGCATCCGGGCGATTTTGAGACCCCCACACAGTTCCGTTTCCCCTCACGTTTGGTTGATGAATGTGACGCCTCGGACTGTGGGGAAATATTTTTAATACGTTGTTCCCATTGCGAAAAACTCCTCTGTTTCAAGCACTTTGTATTAAATTATCATATGTGCTCATAAATAATCAAAATTTCTCCCTAGACGAAGCAAAATGGCCAATCATACAAGGAAACTGTGAAGCGTATGCTTGGAGTGGGCCCTCAAACACGTGACTGTGTTGCATATTGTGTTAACTTCAACACTAAACGTTCTTTTTCGCTGAAAACATGCATAATTGATAAAGGCGGAAAATTGGACTCCAACATGAACCGAACCACAGTCTCACCAGCATGAGGCGCCACCACTACCACTAGGCCAGGCCGCCCGGCGCCTCTTTGAAATGAACATTCATTTAAAACAACCCCCGTAACTTTTTTCAGAAAATCGTTGCGCATATTTGGAGAGCGGATTTGAGATCAGCGGTCCGAAAATACAACTCTAAGTATAGGTTTCATTACGGATGGCCGCTCTCGACTTTGGTATCCTTCCTTTGTCAGAATTATATACTATAGAAACAGTCACCATGATGGCGAGGGTGTGAAGAGGACGAGTTCTGTGAATTTTTAGATGGAAGCAGGGGCGATCGTTTAAATTTCCAAATATACCCAAAAGTTACTATCGGTCCTAGGGTCGACCTGAACTGTCGAGCTACCCCTGTTCCTTTGGTTCCTCTGCAGCCTCACGAACTAAAACGTGGGCAGTCAAGGTGGCATACATACATACAAGAAAAGCTCAGTGCAAGCATGAATTATTGCGTAATAGAAGCATAAGGTCTTGCATCATACTATTCAGATAAAGCGGTGGTTCAAGCCGTAACAAAATTGTTCAGAACATTATAAATATTAGGTTGTCTCATAAATAATGTCGCTTTTTTTCAACCGAAAAATTTTCACCTCAATGCCCACGCTTTTACAGCGAGTCACATAACCTTCGAAAGAGAATGATCTGCTCTACAAGATGTTATGTTCTCCTTCCATCTATGTTCTATGGTGTTCAAATTCAAGGCCTTTGAAATGGGAGGTCCAGCCGACAAAAATTGACCAAACCGACAACTATCTCTAACTTTATATTTCCTTGGAAGAAATCAATCAATACTGTACCTTTCACTTATGCATGACCTCTTCTAAACATTACACTATTAGGTTTCCCAACAAGTCGCGTCATCCCATTTCCAGGCCTGGTTTTGCAACCAGAACTCGATGGTCAGGCACCATTACCTGAGAACGAGGTCGAAAGTTTTTTATAGCCGAGACATTGAAAAACTAGTAGAATTCAAAGAACAAGTCATGACTAAGTTAGGAATGTACGCCTGATTGATTTTCTCGTCTTCTCAGGGATAATTTTTTCCAAAGAAATGCGGTCATTTTTCTTATTTCTAAACACCTAAAATTCGAGCTATTTCCTAAGAAACATTAAAACAAAACAAATGAGCGAATAGAGCAGAAGAAGTGCTCACGAAAGATACACCAATTGATATAAAACAATAGCGTTTCACAGGAAGAATTTCAATTTGAAAAATGCCATGGCTTATTTGTCGGCCAATTTGAAAAGAAACAGGGCAAACCTTTTTCGGCAACCTAAGGGTGGAATGTTTAGAAGAGGTCATGAGTAAGTAGAGGGTACAGTATTAACTGATTTCTCCCAAGGGAATTTAAAGTTAGAGATAGTTGTCGGTTCGGTCAATTTTTATCGGCTGGACCTCCCATTTCGCACGCCTAAAATTTGAAAACCATGTATCATAGATGGAAGAAGAACACAATGTCTTGTAGAGCAGACAATTCTCTTTCGAATGGTATATGACTCGATGTAAAAATTTGGGGATTTAGATGAAACTTTTCCGGTTGAAAAAAAGCGACACTATTTATGAGACAACCTAATACAACTGCCTCAACACAGTGCTGAGAAATGTGTTAGAAGGTTGCTCACCGTTTCCGGTTCAGTAGCAGCAGTTGAAGGAGTCTTCACAACTTTTCTTCTTGGCTTGACAGTGGTTGTGTCAGGGGGAGCTGAAGTGGATTCCAATCTGAAACCAATTCAATTAAAAAGGTGTTGATACCTAAAATAAAAATTCGTATTTTAGCACAGCATGATGGAGGGCGTGCGAAGGCTTCTAAAATATCATAGAAGTCGGCATCACTATTACTACTCTTTTCTTCATGTTTGCAGCAAATGGAAGAAAACGATAGGAAAAACAGACCGGAAATTTTGAGAGGCATCGAAATCATTTGATAAATTGGAACGCATCGTATCTTACTAAGAACCACGTCGCATATATTATGCTGACCTATGATCTAGATAAGGAATGAAAAATAGGGGTGAAATCAGGGCGCAGAAAATGTGTAAAAATGTGTATGTGGGTGCGGCTCAAATGTATCCCGCACTGTCCTACATAAGTGGTCTGCGAAACGTCACGCTCACAATCACAAATCAAAATGTCGCGCAAAAGGCGGGGTCGAGTATAAACAAGAGTCAGGTGCACGCTCTGGCGAACGAAGAGCGCTGTGCTACGCGATGGGTTTGTATAACGGCAGCGAACGTCACTCGCATCGCACTTGTGTCATCCATTTTTTCTCGCCCTGCGAATTCCTCAGGTATCCCAGATTTTTGTGTTTTATATTATAAGGTACACGCTAACATAATTACCACCAACGTGACCTTGAGTTCGTATGTGTTATAGTTTATCAAACATTACTGAAGAGAAACCATATATTGGTTTGGTTGTCACTATCACTATTGCCAGGCCTAGCTCGAGAACAAGTTTTCTTGGAAATGATCAGAAAGTAAACAGTCTATTGTAAGAATTTGCAGGGTTGTGGGATTGATTTCCAGTTCGCTATTATAAGAGCAACCAAGATTTCATCCTGTCAGTTGGCTGAGCTCCCAATTCTCCCGATACTCACCAAAGGTGTAACGTACATCAAGTGAACCAACGGGAAGTGACCCTTCTGAGTGAGCGATTCCAATATTTGTTTAGTTTTTCTGTGAAGTCACTTTAAAGTAACCCTCAACCTAAAATATTCACTGCTTACCTTGCTGAACCTCCAACGCGCATCATAGGAAGCTCTGGCTTCATTTCACCCATGTGAATTCCGTCAATGCCACTATCTGAAATTAGAAGCGTATTTGAACTCTTTCCAGGCGTTTTCGACTTATCTACTGATTCATTAGTTTGGTCCTGTTGGGCCTTTGGATTTTACTCCTGAACTTACTTATGCTTTCTCATTCTCTACTACGAACCTATCCTTCCTTCCTATTCCTGCATTGGGCGGAAGTGGTGTAGTAGCAAGTGGCACGCCTACCACGCGAGCGGTCCGGTGTTCAAATCGTGGGTCGTGAGTCACCCGGGCCAACGAAGCCTTCCATACCTCCGGGGTCGGATAATTGGTACCAGACTTGTCTGGGAGGATAAAAACACTGACTTGTACATCGGCTGGCCCCCCGCAAGTCATTGTATAGGCCACATTGCATTTAAAAGCCACTGCGAATGTACAAATGGAAGTAGAATGCGTGCCGCATCCCAAGATGGGATTGATCAACGGCAAATGCTTTATCCTTCTTTTATTATTCATTATCGCTTTTCTTCGTCCCTCAGATGGGGGTGGACAGAATAAAAAAAGTAAAATTAATATGAAATGGAGCATCTGGAATGGGAGCTTTTTTTCATGGACGCAAGTCTTTAGATTTCTAATAACCACAATTTTCTTCGAAACTGGTTTTGGGTGAAACGAGAACTCTCATGGGAAAGAACTGGATTTGTGCTTTCAAGTGATGGTCCATAGAGAATCATATCAGACGGTTGGTTGATCATGGATGGTACCGCGCGGCAGGCCGATAGGTAGGTGTGGCGTACTACAAGCCGGCCTCATGGGGCGGTGTCAGACTTTGCGAGTCGCTGGCGAATCGCTGGATACGAGCGTTGCACCAGCGAATCGAGCTGTGCCCCTGCGGAATGAACGCTGTAACAACGACTCAAACTGTTCGCAAGTGAGCGATCTCTTTCAACGTTGGCTCTCACCACTTCACCGGGCTCACGATAGTATGAGGCAGTGAGAGGGCATGAGAGATAGGGGATGTGGCGAGAGTCAAAGTGCAAACGAGCGGGAGCACTCCAAACAGTGTTGAGTCGTTGGTACATCGTTCGATCCACTGGCTAGTTCGATTCGCCGGTGCAAAGCTCGTATCCAGCGATTCGCCAATGAATTGCTCGATTCGCAAAGTCTGACACCGACCATAGTGCACTCCATTCATCTTGACGCCAGATCGCTACAATGCACCCTGCGACTCGTTCGCTTAACCATACACGTCTTCTCCTTCCCATGCGCGACGTGGCTCCTATCGGGTACTCCAGTCCGAGGGACTACGACCGTATCTCATGACATACTACTGATCACACTACTACTACACTGACTCACAATACCATCAGAAGTTACTTTCTCTGCACTAGATATATGTACCTTATTTCGGGAAGCGAGAAGAAAATCGAGCGCAGACCACACATCACAAGAGACGGCGGCCAAGGGAGAAGCGGATTTCTTCCTTAGCCGTCGTCTCTTATGGAGTGTGGTCTGCACTCGATTGTTCTCGTCCGAAATCGAGGGTAAATTCTACAAATTTGTGGCGCAACTGTTTGGATACATTGAAAACAAGACAGGAATCTTAAAACTAGCTCACTAAGCACAACAGTAAGAGGTGATTGCATGAGGTAATTTGTATGAAGACTCACGTAGCTCACTTGGCAACTGGGCGCTGTCCGATGTAGCAGTATGTATTGAAGTAGCGGTACCATTCACATTGTCGAGAACATTATTTGCGAATTCATATCGCTCACAACAGATCGATTGCTTCGAATCACTGTGGCAGAAGGTTTTCCGCTAGAGGGTTATCATGTGTTTGATTGTTTGAAATTTCATGAAATTTCTTCCGAATGAAAGAACTCACTCCCGGACATTTTCTTCTGGAATTACACAGCACTCGTGAGCCGTCCCCAGTGAGGAGACCGATGGAGTTTTGGGGGCAGTCGAGAGGTTCTTCTAGACTAGCCTGCTTCCTTCTTAGGTTCTTGCTTTTTGGGGCTCGCCTGCGTTCAGAAGGTGCAACACTATTTGAATGAAGGCGTTCTTGTTGTAGTTGTTCACAACAAACGTATGCGTAACCAACATCCATGCAAGTCATTCTTTCCTAAAATATTACAATATTCCCAACCTGATAAAACAGACGATTAATCTCGAATAGAATTGTCGATTTAGTGTGATAGGTCGGAAGTTGTCCGCGTTCCGCGCAAAATCGATATCTTCGATGAAAATCAATCAATAGCACGCAATTGAAGAGTCACATCATTGACTAGTTATCGATTGGAAAGTTGAAAATTGATTGAGATTCGTGCAGATGCATTCTTGCCCAAAAAATTGTGAACCTGTTGTTACGGATAAATTGTGAAGGGCTCACATACCGAGCAAACGTGAGTAGTAATATTGAGCTCAAAGAATGGTGCTCAGATGAGACCTTTAATTCAATTTCAGCATAACCAGGTCGGCTGTCCTCCTGACTCATCAGTGCCACCTACCTGAGTTGATATCAACCGATTTGAATGAAAGTAAATACTATAATCGCTACTTGCTGGTCATTTCAAGGGAATCATGCCTGCTAATCTAATTTACCAGTACTAGCAGTACATTGGCAAGAATACTGAGCGTTCGAGCTTGAACCCACTGTGGGATGACACACAATGAGTTACGAGCTTCCCATAGCAGAGCAGAAATTCGCAAGCCCTTATCCATCACCTTTCCTCGAATGATGAATTAATTGCCAAGGCGCCAAGGCAGAGGAGCTCAAGGAGGCCTCAAGGCTTCAGCTTGAAGCAGTCACCGATAAGTGTGTCTTAGTCGATTTAATCAGTGGTAAACAGCTTTTGTGAGACCTCAAGAATTTGCGGTTGCTGTGGTCCAAAACCTCAGTGCACCTTCATCACCTTCCTTCGCACACGGGCCGGCCACGAGCCAATTTTTCTCCAATTTCCGTGACAGAACCAAAAACGATTAGCTTAACTCTCCTCAAACGTTTAATCCATCAAAGAAACGCTGGATGAGGTCCCCATAGCAAGCTTGTACGCAAGATTAAAATCGTGTTTTTCTGTATCTCTACGCTCTCCAATGTCGCAGAGTGCTTTCCACGCAGCATGCAGTGACACTCGGTTCAGCTGGACTGTGAAGAAAATTCTTTCGTTGGATTGTTAAATGCACTGGTTAGCGTTTGCCTCTCGTCTAGATTCCACGGCACTGAAACGGCCTTATTGTTAGAAGGAACAAAACGGCAGAACCCAGCATCGTGAACCGTTGGCGACGTTGTGTTGAGCACGAATTTTCATGGGCCTCATAGTCTCCACGAAAACACTTTACTGGAAGCGCGGTCGAGGAAGAACGAAACTTATGCAGAATGTGGCAAGTATCTGATGAGTATCAGCATTGAGACCCCCATGTACTTCCCGTGTGAGGTTCTACTGTTGCATACCGTCGAGCTAAAGTGAGGAACTCTTCTTCTTCTTCGTATGTATACGAAAACTTGAGAAAAAAAACAATGTTTGGCATCCTTTGCAAAGAGTGTTGCCCTTCACCTGTCACCCTTCCGTTTCCCAAAAACAAGTTCTGAAACTAGTTCTACATTTTGTCCCATACTTATAGAGTGTAATAAATTTATGACATAGCAACATGAAATTGAGAATTTTATAAAAAAGGAATAAAGAAGCAGAGGTCAATGCCTTGATTTCGGTCTACAGAATCACTGTACCTGTGGGCAGGTGCGTGTCCGAGGAGAGCACTTTAGTGGCAAGCCATGCGAATCCAGCACGGTAAGTGCAGGAGATGGGCAGCTCGGTCGGTTGTCGTCTGTTGGCTCATTACTGGGACAACACATGTAGTTTATACCAGAAAAATAGCACGTATGGTTGGCACCACATACTGAACGGGCGGATGTCCCTAAAGTGTTTATTGTTAGACTGCGAATTTCTCTACCTCTATGAATGATAAAATATTATATGTTGAAATTTTGAAATAAATACAGGATGGCGAAAAATCACGTGCGCGCGACGTTTGGCTTCGTTTCGAACATTGTATGAGGAATTATGGGTGCTTCAACTTTTCAAACTGTTTGTTTATTGCTAATTAATGGTTTGCAAAAGAAGAATTTTGTTTTCAGGTTCTGAGAAAGACCTGTTAAAGGAATCTCGCGCGGAAAATTCTTGCACTCTTTCCTAACATGAATATGTCAGTTGTGATCACTGTAAATAGCACACAAAGTTTCACGCATGAAGATTCGGTTTCTGAAGAGAAACAAACGTACAAAAACTACACGTTATGGACCATCGCAGGACCAGGAGGCTGAGCCAGGCGAGGCATGGAAAGAAGACGGCGTTTGGCCGGCTACGTACCAGGCGACGCACTGAGAGAATCGGGTTAAAGCGCGCGATTTCCGAGAGTGAAGACAAATCGATCGATGGAATAGGATGGAGTAGAAGTGTAAGATGTGAATGCAACGAAGCAGAAGACCAGAAAGCGCTTCTAGTGTATGCACTCCAAGAACCAAGTTAGCATCCCCGTCGCCAGCAGTCGTGAAAGACGTCCGTGGGCAATTCGAACGCGTAAAAGTCTTTTCGAGTTTTCGAATTTCTAGTCAAAACGAAAGCATACTTCAGTTCTTTTCACTATTATCGTGGATATTGAGTCTCAAGCCAGTGATTTATGGCTGAAATAAAATCATGATTTTACCGCGCAAGATTCCTTTAAGTTGGAGTGCGATTGCTCGGGAAGCATACAGCTGGACCGAGAGCTAAGTGATTTCTTCGAGGCACACAAATTTTCTACAAACCGTTCAAAAGACTGAAAAGCGTTGGAAGACCATTTATAAACTGAATCCGCAAGAGAATGAGAACGGTCTAGCAACACCCTATGTGTAAGAATTATTAAGAAGTGAATTGATCAAAATACGACCTGGGCTTGAATAAGAGTGTCGAAAAGAACCAAACTTCCCAAAAATTTGATGACACCCAAAACAAAGCACTGAATTGACATTATCACATATCAAACGAGCAGTTTCCCGCCGGTCAAGCAAAGCAAGATCGGAAGGAAAAATATACGAAATTGCGGGATTTTCTCAGGGTGCGGCGGTCCTAGGATGCCCTGCGGTTTCACAAGTGGAAGTTCACCGTTTATGTGCCTCAAAACTCTCAGAACTACCTTTGACCGTTTTTTAGCAGCGCGTAGTAACACCCGTAAATGAAAAGCACCCATATGAATTTGTTCCCTAGAAATTTGATGATTTGAGGCTGGAACAGAGCTTCAGGCAAGCCTTCTCAGGTTCTTATAAATAAAAGCGCGAGAATCGGTGGGAAAGTCTATCGAGAAGCAGCCCTTGAGAAAGCTGTTGCCTCTCTCTACAGGAATGCGCTCGTGCTCTCGGACCAATGTACCAATCTACTTCTTCGAAACCAGTATCGACTGTTTTGTGGCGACGGATTCGTGATTTGCTTACAGCCCGAATTCGGATTCCTTAGACTTCTCTATTTGTGGTTTCATTGAAAAACTACTGTAGTAGTGCAAAAAGTTTTATGATTCTGAAAAGAACTGCGTAAAATCTGGAATTGAATATGCGTAGAACACCTCCGCCGCAGCATAGACTCGCTGAAGAAACAAATCGAGGCCTACATCAAAACTTATGGCAGCCACTCCAAATCTTTTTTGAGATTATTAATGTCAAGGTTCGATGTTTTATAAAGTTGATTACTTCGAAAATTTTGTGAGCCAAAGATAAAGTTAGATCGTGTTTTATGACGCACGTATTTTTTCGCCACCCTGTGGTGTACTTCCTATCAAGGCTTCTGGCAACAAACACCAGCGAATACGTCACATGGAAACAATATCAACCATAATTTTTGCCTTGACGGCTTAGACTCGTGTACCATAGTGCGCGTCACCCTCTCCCTCCCCCCCCCCACCCACATAAGTATCCGCCATCTAAATGTCTCTTCCACCGTCGGTGAGGTTCCGCTTAACTCACGTTGTTTCGTATATCTTGCCATCATCGACCCATAATCCAAAATTTGGTCCAGCTTCGCAAGGTATTATTTTTTGGGTGGTGGCAAATCCCGTGACGCACGCACACGATCAGGACTGGCGCTCGCATAGTGTAAACAGCACAGCGTTTCATGTGTAGTATAGAAAATGAGGATTGACTAATTGATCAAACGAATGATTTGACGTTGTTCTTGTAAAATGGTTAAATCTTTGAAGCAACAACTACTGACCAAATTTTGGGATAACAGCGATAGGTATAAAATTGTAAACACCGGATTGACTGAATACGGAAAATATCCTAAGTAAATTGCGGATAATGCCCTTAACGAGGACTCCCACTCGACCGTGTCAAGAGGGGCGTTGCGGACGAGTTGTCTGAACTTGCTTGCTCCACGACTGCAAACATGCTAACCACAGTTAACAGATCGCGGACCGCCGTTGCGAGGACCTTCATACCTTTTTTTGATGACGAACCATCATTAATTTATCAGCACTTTTATCAGTGATCATTCTTATTGTTTCCTGGCTCTGAAAGTGAGCGCAAACACTTTGAGAGCCTTGAAAAATGCCAAATAAACCGGATTCAACTATGACCTTTCGCTTGGAATCGTGCACCACATGGTGGCACACGCAATACGCAATGTTTAAATTAGACGCGCTGTCGTAATCCACATTGGGTGTCATAAGGTGTGTCAGAGATATCTCGTCCATTAGCTCACTTTTTAAGGCCCTATTGAATTCAGTGAGCTGGAAGAGCGACTGAATGTGAGGAAGCAAAAGATGAGCGAAAAATGCTCCGCATGTAATCCTTGTTCATCCAGAAACTTCCGAGCTAGACTAAAAAAACACCAAAACGGTACAGCAAAACTAAACTCAGCGTAATCCCCGTTCCCGATTTTTTTCTTCTTTCGGTAGCATATTGGTCATCTGAAGACCACACAGAATGGTGAAAAGAAAAGCCACTTTGACGAGTAAAAGAAAGAGAAAAGGGTTCGTGTAGAAGATCGCATTTCACGCAACTAATTAACCAATAGAAAGCGCAACATTTTGTTCCTATCCTAATAAATCGGTGAGCGTGTGTGAAAAATCCTCAAATCTCACATATACTTGAGTTTTTCGCCTATCCCAGTATTTTGAGGAGATAGGAGATCATGTAATACATGTACATAACACATGTATTCATATTGTTAAATCAACATATTTAACACACCGAAGACAGCGCGGGATACATATATCCCGCACCTCCGCTTGGACGAGGCTCGTTTTAATTACCCTATGCCTCCATTTTCACCTCCTAAAGTGGTCCATATGTGTTATATTACCGGCTACAGAAATTAGTACATTTTTTTTTACTATTAATGAAGTTGTTAATGAAGTAATCACTATTGATGAAAATTTGTAAAAAAAGATAAGTATACGCGCACTGGACGGCGGTCGTCAATGTGTTAATATAATATAAGAACAAATATACATCAATGAGAGTGTGAAGAGAGTACCCAGTTCCTGTACGGACCAACAATATTACACAACTTACCAGGCAAGCAATGAATGGGCCTTCCTGACTTGTCCTCTTTAGGCAGCTGACCGTTTGCACACATTGGTTGACGATCTGCAGTATATGGACTCAAAAGGTGAACTCAAACTAACAAATGATAGTAGTATGATTGATAGCTAAGTTACGTTTTATTGCAGTTGTTACAAGAATAAGTAGTAGTGAAATTAATAGCAGTCGCATTCTAACAATGTGAACGGGGAGGCGAGACTGTACTGTAGTGAGATGAGCTGAGAAATGTGTGCCTATCACTTAGAGAACGCTCGATTAACCCAGTTTTCTTGTCGCAGCAGATACACAGATTACCGGGATTCTCGTCAAGGTCGCTGACGTACAACACCGCAAATTTTGGCATGTCTTTCACAGCTTTATGCTGATTGTTATTCTACCTGGATTACTCTGGAAGGCTATCGAAGCCACTCATTCCAGCGAACGGTATTCTCATCATGGTTCCGCGAGGAAAACTCCACGGAAGTCCGCTCTGGTGTCTATCACTCCGCCAGTGAAGAAAAACAAATGAAAGGAATCCGCCCAAACCGCTTAAACTTACAGCCTCGTCTTGCTGATCGAGACGCGAGCTGCTGAACAGATACACTGTGCGCGGAACAAGAAATTTCTTCTGCATCTGCATAGATGTCTTCTAAAGTGCGTTGAAAATCCTGAACCGATCAACGCTAAAACAGAAGTTTATCTTGTTAAGGCGTATCTGACATCAGGAAGGGCAGCAGAGTCGAGATGAACGTCAGAACTTCTGTGGGTCCTTTCACTGCTCCTAAGGGTACAGCGCTGCCCACACCACACTTGCGTAGAACTATAACGGACTCGCCTATCATCTCACCATTAATTTCTCGATCCATGTTGAATCAGGCCTTCAAAGGCGAATTCAATTGAACCTAAACGGAATGCTTCCAGATGAATGGAAGGGGGATGCGCGACAAGAGTCCCCTGAGGATGCCGCGTAAGCGAAAGTGGGTCACCGCACGCGGCGGTTTCCGATCCTTACAGATTGGAACGCGGCAATTTGTCAGGACTAAGCTAAAACAAATACAGAAATGGGAACTACATAGACGGAACAAAAAAAGCGTTGTTCTGTCGGTCGTCTAGAGAGGCGGTCCTAAACTTGGCCAATTGCCATGATTCAAATAGCAAAAACGCCGGCGACGTCACGCGCGGTGACCTAATTTTGGCGCGGCGGTCGCGGGGACTCTTGACCGTCTCCCTAATTCGTGCCCTTGTTTGCCGCGAGCAGACCTGACGTAATTGCGGACTTAGCTCATCCCTTGGCCACTTGC